TGAATTTAATTTGTCAATTATCTGCTTGTTTTCTTATCTTGGCATCATATACAGATTTGGTTGGATGCCATTCAAATCACTTTACTTTCCAAATCAGTGAAATAGGATAGGCATCTAAAGTGAGCCCTGGAGGACTATCAAATTTGTTATTCTCCTACAAGAGGATTTGTTCCCATTTACTATAACTCTGCCAGACAATTCATAATCCAGGTCATTAACCTAACACTGCTTTTTGGATTTCACACAGCAATTCCCTATGTGATCCCTTCAAAGACTACTTTAAGTAAATTACATCCATGGATTCTCACAGTGTTCCTCACAGTTATTATCCTATTTTCTGATTCGACTGTTACTGATCTCATATTAGATAATCCATATTTTTTTTTCTAATTTTGTTTTCATCTTAATAAACAGATGGGAATATTTGTTCTTTTTCTTTGAAAGTATTCCATTAGGTATTCCAACTGGGTATATCCTTTGCTGGTTTCTCTGATTCTACTTATCTACATACTTGAAGGAGAAATAAAGGTGTAAAAACTTTTGAGCCTGTTAGGATTCTAATAAAAAACTGAACATATTAATTTATCAAACATGTGTTAAGAGTCTCTTTCAGATTGAACAATGAGACTAATTTCCCTACTACACTGTGGTTCTTTGACTGGAGTAAATGCTATGCCTTACCTAAAACTTTTATCTCCCTCAGGGCCTAGTAGAGTGCTTGGTCATTATACAATACTCATTTTCATTGTCTATTATTATTATGTGTGTATGTGAGGCACAAACACACACACAAAACCTATTGTGAGGATCAAATGAGATCATCAATATGTTTTGTAAATAAAGCACTTTGTAAATGTTTTATTACTATTGGTACTACTACTAATATGTGAAACTATAGACAAAATGGGATAATATGCAGTGACAGTGAGCATTATATAGTGCATTAAGGGAAAGCATCAGAGTCAAAGACTTGCATTCAAGTTCTGCTACTGAGGCACTGTTCAGGCTACTGAGCTTGTGTGACCATGGGTAAAGGCCAGGAAACCTCTCAAGTTGTAAAGGAATTGCTGATCTGCATCAGCAGACAGAATTGCCATAAAAGGATTCCCACACTGATGAAATGAGAAAAGCAGGAAGGATTCAGTTGCTGAATCTCACCATTTTTTTCTCGACAACATCTCTCAGATATGACTCTTTTCTGCTCACGCAGTGATTACCCTAGTCTAGGCTTTTATCATCTTTCACTCATACTGTTATAAGATCCTCCTAATTTCTCTCCAAGTCTCTCCTCACCCTAATCCATCCTTTACAAAGTTTCCAAAGTAATATTCTTGTGCATAGGTCTAACCATGGAACCCCACTACTCGATAAACTGTAGTGTCTTCCTATTACCTCTAGGATCAAGTAATATTTGGCTTTTCAAACTTTTCACAACCTGGTCCTTTACTGTCTTTCTAGTCTTCTTACACTACTCCTTTTCATGCATTCTGTAGTCCAGACATAGTGATCTATTCCTTGTTCCTAAAAGAAGACACTCCATTTCCCTCTTCATGCCTCTGCATTGGCTGTATCCTATGCCTAAAATATTTACCCTCCTCAATACTGCCTCTCAATGCCCCTGATTCCCTTCAAGCCTTGGTTCAAATGTGACCTTCTCTGCCCAAGAGGCAGGAGACCTTTCTGGGTCCTTCAGATGCTAGTGATCATCCTCCCTACAGTTACTCTTTATCTATTCTGCATATACTTTGTATATATCTATGTACATACTATTTTCACCCTTAAAAAATGTAAGTTCTTTAAGGGCAGGGATTTTTTAAAAAATTTTTCTTTGTATCCTTAAAATTTAGTATAGTACTTCACCCAAAGTAAATGCTTGTTGATGTTTTAATCACCAACAGGATGAAGTAAGATTTGAGTTAGGCTCTAAAGAAATTCAAAAGGTGGGGGGGGAGGGCAAGGGGCAGGAAGGGGAGAGCAGTAGACATTCCAAATGTAGAAAAAACTCTGAAGAAAAGAACAGAGGGAATAGAATGTAAGAGTATAATATTGGGAGGAATCAGAATAGTTCACTGTGGCTGAAGAACAGACCGTCTACAGGGGAACATTAAAAAGATAAGGCCGGAAAGTAAGGGGTTGCAACAGACTTGGGGGATAGATGGAGGAGGGCCTTAAATTCCAAGCAAAGGACTCTGAACTTTACTTTGTAGGCAAAAGAAGCCACTCAAGACTTTTTGAGCAGAGGAGTGATGTGCCAAGGTCTTTGCATAAGGAAGATTACTGCTGAAGCAGATGAACTGAAGAGAGTAGAAAGACCTAGAGAAATATGTTTATTCCAACAGTCCAGGTGGGAGATAATGACGGCATCTACTAAAGTACTGATAAAATGGGAATGGAGAAGAGGGTACAAATGGTAAAGAAAACAAACAGAAATGGATCCCTGAAGCTTCATGTTGACTTAGAAAACCCAAATTAACATTATTTATGTGGTATTATATTTTTATTTCTTTTGTTAAACACTTCTCAATTATGTTTTAATCTGATTGATACCTCTTTATGGTTTGCTTGAGAATTAATAATAGTTTTTATGTGTTTTTTTTTTAAAAATAAGGCCCAAGGGTCAAATCTAGCCCTCTGCCTGTTTTTGTATTGCCCTTCATGGAGCTAAAAAAATTAAAAAACAAAATAAAATAAAATAATTTTTAAACAAAAATCATTTTTAGCTGGTACTGCCTCCCTGGAGCTAAGAATGGTCCTTTTGAAAATGGGTTTTTTTTTTTTAAAACCATTTTTACCTCACATACCCATAACCAAAACCAGTTGAGGGCCAAAGGCCATAGTTTGCTGACTCCTGCTCTAATCTTTCATATACCACCTGTACATCTCATATACTTGTGCTAAATTCACCAACTTAATGTAAAGATCTGATCAATTCATTCTCCTGTTCAAAATCCTCAAATGCGTCTCTTTTATCTAGTAAACAGACTTGAGACAATTTGTCAACCACAGGTTTTTACCTTCTGGATCCAACTTACCTTTTTTTAGCCTTATCTTCCCTGTGCACCATATTTATACTCCAGCTAAATGAGTCTATTCACCATTAAACAGATACAGTACATACTTTCCTACCTACATGTCTTTAATCATGCCATTCCCTATGATTAGAATATTCATTTGTTGTTCATTCATTCAGTTGTGTCTCACTCTTTGTGACTCCATGAATCGTAGCATGCCAGCCCCTTCTTTCCTCCACTATCATTGCCTAATTTATAACTCTAAAATTCTATCCATCTTTCAAGCATCATCTCAAATAGCTCTCCCTAAATGGTCTTCCTTTACCCCAGTTTCATCCACCCAAGCCAAACGTGATCTATCACTCCTCTGAATTCAATTATACTTCTTTTATGCACTTATTACACAGGCAATTTTGCATTTTAGTTATTTCTGTATCTATCTTCACTTCCCTATTAAACAGTAAACTCTCTTAAAAGAATGGACTACATCTTTTAACTTTTTCATCTATGTATCTGTTTCAATGTCTAGTATGTTCCTTTGAATACAGTGAGTGATTAACATAAATTTCTTGAAGGACACACATTACATTTTTATCAGGGAAGGGTCAGGGAATACTCTGCAGCTCAAAACCTATAATGATGACACAAAAGTTCACTCTTGCCAAGAAAATGAATGATAAATATTAAGTCATTTAACTGACTATATTATTTTATTCCTGGCCTAATTTCATTTGGTCCTAACCTAGTTTCTTTTAGGAACTCAACTTGTAATTCTGTGGTTATTTCAATGGTCACAATTGATAACTTTGTGGCTACATTAACATGGTAGCTCAAGGCCCAAAATATTTCATGAATAAAATAAATTGAGTAATTTGTATCCCAAAGCAAGCTCATTCCTCATTTCAGGTTCTCAACTAAAGGATATTTAGTACTAATTTAAAAGAAAATTTCATTCCAACGAGGACTGCTATAATTACTCTGAATTCTATTTGCTTAAGAATTTAATAGACAATAATTTTCCCATTTTCAAAATGTGCACATTTTTATCTCACATAGCTCAAATCATCACACATTACCTCAAATGAGACAAAATATGGAAAGTACTCTGCAAATCATAAAATTCTATAAGATTCAAGTTTATTATTATTATTGTTATTTTACTTCCCCCCTGCAAAAACACATGCTCTAAATGGTATAGTCCCTAAGCCTTTGGAGAATTAGTACAGTAGGGCTGACCCAGCTTACTGTTTCTATATAAAAGCCAAAGCTATTTAAGCACTTTAATTCTGCAAAGTATTATTTAACCTTTGGTTTGACTGTTAATATACTTCAAGGACTTCAGCAGTCATGACTAACAACTAGATGAAGTTAGCATTGATGTAGTGTTCCACAATAGCTAATATAAACAAAATTAACCTTTAACGGGGTAAAATAAATATTAACTGTCTCTTTCAGGATTCACCATCATATGGATGAAATACAGAGCTTTTCACATCTTCTGTTCAAGTTTGGATGAGACCCACTTAATTTATTTTAATGATATAATTAGGCAAACATGAATTTGGATATCAGGGAGTTCTCATTCTATTATATACTTAGACAATATACGTATCTATCATATACACAGACAAATTTTGCTGTTAACTGGAAGAACATGTTAACAAAAAAAGTCAAACCAGATAATTAAATAATAACCTAAGATAGAACTGATTACGTAGAGAGGGTCTTAATGTATTCAAGTAGCTGTTATATTTGAAGGACTCGGCCGCTTGATTCCAGGAGTATAAATGTAATATAAATTATTGTAAAATTAGTGAATCTTTATCACGTCAACATATTTAAAAGCCTTCAGCTATATCACAAATTCACACTGAATTGTAATTCAAATCAAGGCAATAATTTAATTATCAAAAACTATAGCATGAACAAATATCTTCCTCACTATATTGATCTGATCCTTTCAGGAAAAGAGTAGATATAAATACTTACTCTAATACTTCATAGTTAGATTTCTTCTCCAGGGCATTGCCCCTCATCTCCCAGTATGATCTCCTAAAATCACAAAAAACAGATTTACAAAGAATTATTAGGAGAAAAAACAGCCAAAGCACATTATGCTAAAGTATTTCTTGGATGTCAATAACATTTTTCTGAGTTCTAAATAAAGTCGAGAATTAAAATACTGCTTAATTACTATGCTTTTCACTATGAATAAATTTGATTCTTGATCTTTAAGGTCAATATTATGATAGCAATTTATTAAGAGTAACAAACATAATGCCAGCTGAGAAATAAGTTTGGTTATAATTACTTCAAAAATGAGTCAATTCCTCCTAAAGGGTAGGGATACATGTGCAGTAGTAGACTGGCTGTTGCTACAATGCTGCATAGGTACTAACCCTACTCTGTTTAGGCCACACAAAATGCTCAGAGCTGTTATGTGTTATCACTGGTTTACCTATTTGAAAAAGGGCTACGGTGTTTCTAATTAAATAGATGGTCAGCATATACAACAAAGGTCCTCTTATAGGGCCCCTTTACAAAACCGGGTAGGTGCAACTTGCAAAAGACTCTTGATTATTGTATTACATCGTGCCAAATTAGACACAGAGTTTCTGTGTCATTTGGGCAGTTTTTGTTGAGACATTTTGAAATAGAGTTTCAAGTTTTACTGGCAACCAGGTCTTTCAAAAGTAAAACCTGCCCTTAAACTCAGTTAGGGTTATCTTCCACTAGAAAATGACTTTTAAAAAATAACTCTGTGAACAGGGTATTTACAAAGGAATATGGCTTGCTTAGTCTGTTCTTTGTTTAGAAAAGAAGGCACAAAAAATTATCATGATCCAAAAAGTGATGTGAAATATTTCAGCTACAAATTATAATCAAATTGCTCTTCCTTAAAAACTGTCCATTATAATATAAATAATGTGTATTGTTTAAAAATTGTTGAATTTAATTCCAGGCCCACATGAAAAGTAGAACACTAGAAATAATATACTAGAAGAGACCTTGAATGGTATGTCAATCAACCCTCCTTTACGTGTCACCCTGTTTGAACTTTTCATTCAAGGTATAGATAGCTAAAAGAAACATCTTGAAATTTCACTTTGGAAAAAAAAATAATTTATGGGCACATAAATTTCCCTAAACTATGGATATGGCAGTGATATTTAATTTGGATGAGATTGGAAGTCAGCCATCTAGTTAATAAGCATTCATTAAGTACTTACTACATGCCAGGCACTGTGCAAAGCTCTGTATATACAATAACAAAAACACAATATTTTCTGACCTCAACAAGCTTTCACTGTAATGGAGGAGACAACAGTATATATTAATACTACAAAGTAGATGGAAGATAATTTGAAGGTGGAAGGCAACAACAACTGCAGGTGCCTCAAAGTTCTCTTGCATTATGTGGGCTTTGAACTGAGCCTTTAAGGAAGCCAGGAAAAATAAGAGGTGAAGATGGGGATGGGGGGCTGCAGAACATTTTCAGTATGGGAGAACAGGGACACCAGCTGTGCAACCCTAAGCAAGTCACTTAACCCCAATTGCCTCACCAAAAAAAAGAACAAAAAAAAAAAAAAAAAAGAACAGGGAATAGAATCTGGAAATAATAGTTTGAGGAGTCTTGTTTAAAAAATTTCAAGTAGGAGGAGGCAAAGAGGTAATAAGCATTTACATAGCACCTATTATGTGCCAGGTACAGTGTACTAAGCACTTTACAAACATCTCTTTTGAACCTCAAAATAATCCTGGGAGGTAGGTGCTGTTATTATCTCCATTTCATAGTTAAGAAAACTGAGGTGAATAACGTCTGAGACCAGATTTGAATTCAGGTCTTCCTGACTCCAAACCCAGCACTCTAGTCACTGTGCTACCCTTCCTGTCTCAATTCCTTTTTATGTGCTGTCTTCCCCCATTAGAACATAAGTACTTAATGCTTGTGGCCTGTGTGTGGACTGCTGCTGTATCATAGAGTATGGGGGAAGGAGCAAAATGTAAGAAGGGATCAGGCTATAAAGGGCTTCAAATGCCAAACAGGAGACTTTATGCTGAATCTGGAGGTAATAGGGAGCCACTGGAGTTCACTGAATAAGGGAATGTGACACAATTAGAACTGAAGTTTATAAAAATTGGTTTGGCAATTGAGTGGAAGACAGATTAAAATGAGTCAGGGAGAAAAATTAAGAGGCTACTGTAGTGGTTTCAGGAAAAAGCCCTGCACTAGGAATTAGGAAGGGATTGTATTTAACAGATGGGGTAGGAGAAATTACAAGATTTGGCAATGGATTTGATGTGTTAGGTTAATGAGAATGAGGATTTGAGGGTGACATCGGGGTTGCAGGCTTGGGTGACTGGTAGGAAGGTGGTTTCCTTGACAGTGAGTGATAAGGAAGTTTGGAAGGAGAGAATGAGGGGAGGGGGATGGGGCGATAATGAATTCTGTTTTGGTCATGTTGAGTTTAAGTTGCCTATGGAACATCCAGTTCAAGCTGTCCAAGAGGCAATTAGAGATACATGACTAACCCATGTTAAGAGAAAAAAATATGGCTGGATACATCTGTGAATCACAGAGATAACTGAACTCATGGAAGCCGGTAAGATCACCAAGTGAGATATTATAGAGGAGAAAAAAGAAAGGAACCTAGAACAGATCCACTGGAGACCTACAGTTGTGGGCATGACATAGATGAAGATCCAGCAGAGGAGAATGAAAAAAAAACCAGTCATACAGGAAGGAGAAAAAACAGTAAAGAACAGTGACATAAAAAATTAGAGAGGAGAGAATATCTGGGAGAAGGTGAGTGTTAAGTGAAAGTTTAAATGAAAAGTTCCATATTTAGGTTAAAATAAAAGTACAGGATATATGAAATAAAACAGTGAATTTGCATAGACAGTAATTCTTATGAACAAAACTTAGGTGCTTTTGTGACTGTGGGGTTGATGGGCATTAATAATGTGATCTGACTATTGGGAAAAAAAAGCCCTTGTATGTTAAGGTTTCATTAAGAAGGATCAAGTATCTTTGGGACTGTGAAGAGAGCGCTGCATAGAACCCTGGACTTGGAATCAGAAGGCCTGAGTTCACATACAGTCTTAGATATTTGCTAGCTGTGAAACCCTGGATAAGACACTTAATTGCTACCTGCCTCATCAGTAAAATGGGCATAATACAGCAACATTCTGATCTATATAAAGAGTGAATCTGGTGAAGTGGATGCACACATTTGAATTCATACTATTCAAAGTTAAAATTATATAAAATATAGTAACTGGTTCTAGTCCATTGGAAATGGGAAGTGTAAAATCGAACAATATGACCACCTCACAAGATTCTGGGACCAAGCTTAAAAATATTTTCCTCCTAGGGTGGTTGTAAAGATAAAATAATATAATATTTATAAAGTGCTTTGCAAACCTTAAAGCATTATATAAATGTTACTATTATTACTGCTACCTCTATCACTGCTACGGCCATTACCACAACAAAAAAGGTGATGGTCCCCGGGAACTGTGTGAGCCAGACCACACCTGGAGTATTGTGTGCAATTCTCAACACATTTTAATATGACAAAGAATGACTGGGGCAGTGAATGGAAATGAAAACATCATATGGAAAATGCCCAGTGGGAATGAGGATAATGGCTAGAACAGAAGCAAGGAAAAGGGAAAGTGACAATTATCTTCAACTGGACTACTGCCATGTAGAAGAGGAGATAGTAAACTTATTTTGTGCAGGTACAGAAGGCACAATTAAGACAATTTGAATCAGAATATTTCAGCATCGGAAACTGGTTACCACCTATGGGTTAACACCCTCAAAAAAAAAACCCTGACCAGTATTCATTCCATCCTTATTCCAAACCTATGCCTACCAAAGCAGCGCATTCCACTTCTGGAAAGCTCTAATGGTCTGTGTAATTCTTTCTTACATCAAACCTAAATCTGTCTAGTGGCAACTTCCACCCATTACTCTTAGTTCTGCCCTCTGGGGTTAATAAAACCAGTTTAATCCCTCTTCCATATATGCCTTTGAAATACATACATACAGTTATCATGTTTCCCCTAAGTCCTTTATTCTCCAGGCCAATCACTTTCCTTTAATTGACCTCCATACTGTGTCATAGGATCAAAGATCTACAGGGGTGAGAGGGACCTCAAGAGTCCATCTAGCCCAATGCTCTCATTACGCAGATGAAGAAATCAGGGTCTGGAGAGGCTAAGTGACCTGCTTAAGGCCATAGTTGACTTCTGACCCAAGTGCTCTTTCCACTGTACCCAGCTTCCTCCAAGCCACATGTTTTCTATCCGTGCTGTCCGTGTAATAACACTCTACAATATATTAATGACCCTTCTACAACGTAGGATCCAATTCAATTCAATAAGCATTTATCAAGCACTAACAATGTGCTGATCAATATACTGGCCTCTAGGGATACAAGGGGGCAGCTAGGTGGCACAGTGGGAAAAGTGCCAGGCCTGGAGTCAGGAAGACTCATCTTCCTGAGTTCAAATCAGACACATAATAGCTGTGTGGCCCTGGGCAAATCACTTAACCCTGTCTGCTTCAGTTTCCTCAACTGTAAAATGAGCTGGAGAAGGAAATGGCAAACCGCTCCAGTATCTCTGCCAAGAAAACTACAAATGGGGTCACAAAGAGTTGGACAGAAGTGAAAATAATTGAACAACAAAGGATGTAAGGACAAAAATTAAGAAAGAACTTTGCCCTCAAGCAAATTACATACTTTTGAAGGAAAACAATCTGCATGTGGGTAAACAGAAAACACATGAAAATGTAAAACAAAATAAAGTGAGGTAGGCTGGAAAAACTCTAACAACTCAAGGGATCAAGACAGGCTCCTTGGGTTTGGGGGGGTGGCACTTGAGGTGCATCTTGACACCAGGCAGTGATTACAATAAGGAGAGGTAAAGAGGGTGAGCAGGACTATGGCAAGGTAGGAACATAAGAAATGAAATATGTATGGAGATCAGCAAGCAGGCTAGAAGGCTAGAATGTATACCTTGTGAGTGGGAGGTTAGTCTAG